AGGTATAAATGTGTTTTGCTTGAGTACTATTTTCCAATGATTTATGGTACCAATGGTGAGTTTGAGGTTGAAGAGATTCTTGATGTGTGTCGTGAGTTGCTACAACAGTACAAGGCTAAAGAGAAGAGAGGTAGCGATAAAAGTGGCTTGGTTGATCCTAATTTTTCTGATGACCCATCACTTAGTGGATATGACTTGTATGCCTCTCAACGAAAGAGAAAGTCTACAAAATCGGAGTTGGATTTGTATTTGGATGAGGATGTTCTACCACGAACGCCCGATTTCGACGTCTTAAGTTGGTGGAACTCTAATAAAGGCAAGTACCCGATTTTGCATCAAATTGCTCAGGATATCTTAGGAATTTCAGTCTCTACTGTTGCTTCCGAGTCCGCTTTTAGTACGAGCGGACGATTGATTAGTCCTCATCGTAGTAGACTTCACCACAAGACTATTGAGGCGTTGATGTGTTCACAAAGTTGGATGCAATGCGAGCAAGGTAATTCCCTCTATTAATATGTAAATTTAATTTGATGTTTAAGTACTTTATATGATAAAGTCTTTATTTACTATGCATATTACTTTTCTTTGTATTGATATGTAGAAAATAAAACACATGGGGAAAATGCAACGGTTTTTTATGATTCGGATGTCGAGGATAACGAGACTTAGGTATGATATGATTCTTTTTTAATCATATTTTTTGGTTTTGTTTGATTTGATATACTATTGGCTCTATTTAAGTTTATCTTTTTTATTATTCGTATGAAGGTCGATTGGGAGGATTTCATCTTGGCAAGGGCGGCACTTTGTTATTAATCGAAGGCATACTTTTTTTATTCAACTTTGTTTTGGAAAAACTTTGTTGGCTTGTTAGACATTGTTTTGTTACTCCTATTTAATGTTGATTTTGTATTTTGGATATGCTTTAAATTGGGATGGACCCTTTTCAAATGCTTTCTTTTGGTCATGTTAGTTACTCATTTATGTATGTTCTCTGTTGTTTAATTTGTTATATTTTTTGTGTTGTAATGATGTTATTGTTTGCTGTATGATTTTTGGGTTATGGATGAACTAAAAAATCGAGCAATGGCCCATGCAAGGCCCAAAAACTAGGTCCATTATGTTTATTCCACAATTTGTAGGCAAAAAATAAATAAAGGCGGGCCAGGGCGGGGCGGCCCGCCCCAGAGCGGGCCAGGTCGCGGGGCAGGATTCCTGGACCCGTGGCGGGTCACGGGCCAGGTCGGGGCACGGGCCTATGGTCGCGGGGCAGGTCCGGATACTGAACTACCCGGCCCGACCTGCCCCATTGCCATCCCTAGTGCATAGGGGAGTGGGTACTTAGCTTTAAAGCCCCATTACTTCGATTTACTCTTTTTGCTTTTGATTATTTTCAAAGTGAAATTGATAGATTGCTAGTGTTTGGAGGAAAAGATCGAAACTTTACATCGTGTGGCTTGACTTAGTGCTTGTAGGATATAATGCATGCTTATCTTGTGCTAAGGTTTGAGACATCAATCACTTCAGTTAAGAAAGCTTGTGTTTGATTGCCTAGGGTTTAGCAAGAATGATGTCTTTCGGTTGTTTAGGGTTGTTCGTATGATAGAGACTCCGGTAAAGCTTTTCTCTTGCTTAATTTTATATGCTTTTGATGACTAGTTGCCATTAGTTTAATTCAATCTGCACACCAAGCGAGTAGCATGTTTAGGACCTTTTCGGTTATGTGATTTTGACGACTAGGTAGTGAACGAAGCTCCGAAGAGCCTTCCTTTGAGAACAACCCGAGTCGGGTAACTCGGTTACCACATGCCCAAAAATTCTACAAACAAAATGGCGCTGTTGCCGGGGAAGGCGAGTAGGACGCCAAGTTTACTATCTAGTTGTCCTTTGCTTCAATGTTTCTCTTCCTTTTTGTGTTATTTTGCTTGTTTTTGCGTGTTTCTCTTGATTATTTGCTTATTTTCCATTTCTCTTGTTTTGCCTTTCGTGCCCGTGTAAATATTATGTGTTTTTAGTTTCGCCTTTTGTTATTTTCTCTCTTGCCTCGTGTGCCTTGGGTTGTTTTTCTTGTTCTTGTGCGAGGTATTACGCTTGAGGAGCCCGGATGGATCCCTATTCTCACTATTATGCCGCGGGCTCATTTCGTGGATACCCCGACAATTCTCAAGGGGAGATGAACTTATTTGGCCCGAGCCACCCTTATTCCACACCCCAATGTGATTATTATGACACTATCCGGCTTATGACGAGACGCCTCGCTACTATCTTCCACCTCTCGGTTCTTATGATGTTATGCCTCCACCCAAGCCGACTCGGGCCCCTCCAACCGAATTAGAAAAGGTCGCGGCAAAGTTGGAGGAGGACACTCAATCCCTTCGTGCTTCATTAGCCTCCCTATCCGAAAAAGAAGAAACCGAGTCCTTCACTTCTCCCTCTCCGGTATTTGAGCACCCATCGGTTGGCCAACCTCGTTCATCTAGTCTTGGAGCTTCATTTCATTCCGAGGTTGGGCCGATCGATCGTCACCAAGAAGTTTTGGCGAGAACTCAAGACGCACTCGCGAGCCTCGCGTCGATCATCCAGGAGTTTAATAGTTGGAGGTGCATCCCGATTCCATCTGTTCTCCGTGCTACACTTGAGAAGTTCGACTCCACCGTGGTGTCTTTTCTCGACTTGGATTCATCTTCTATTCCGCTCGGTAGATATTCTACTCTATCGGTGAAGCTTATTCGAGAGAGCACTCGATTAGAGAGCGAATTTCGGGTTATGGTGGATCGTTTTGCTTCCTTGAAAGAGAAGGGCCTCACTCTCGTGTACGATGGAACTCAACCTTTAGACATGATTGAGGACATCGACGAGCTTATTGTCAAAGAACTTCCACTTTGTGATGATGTGGACTTGCACTCTACACTAGGTACGTCAAAATCTTCTTCCATTGATGGTGCTTCGGGTTTTGATTCGATTGTTGAGGAGCGTATGAATTCGGAAGTTGATGTTGAGGATGGATTGAGAGATAATTCAATTGAGGATTTGAGTGAGCCGAGGGGTAATGAAGGTGTTGGTGATGATGAGGAGGAGGATGATGATGGTAGTGAGGAGGAATCCGAGCATTTAGATGATGTTGTTGAGCCGGATGTGCCGTGTGTGGATGAGATGCCTTGGGATGTTGAGAATGAGGTGGTTCCCATGTCCTTTGGGTCGTCGTTTCGTATTACTGAGGATCGTGACCATTTGGAGGAGTTTAGTGTGCCTACGCCCGTGCTCCCGATGCTTGAGCTTGATGAGTACACGTTCGAGATAGTGCAAACGATGCCCGGGATTGATTCGACGTGCTCCACAGATATATTCATATTTTCGGAGGTCGACTATGGGGCCGTGATGCGTAAAGATCTATCTCTCCTATTGTTGGTTGTCGAAATCCGTGCTCGGTTTCACAATAACGCGGCCACGAGAGCTTACCTTGCCCGCCTTTGTTCCGTGCTACCGGATCATCTACTCTTGGAGAACACAAAGGCGTGGCATGATCAACACTTTTTCTTGGACCCCGGTTGATTAGGGATGTGGTCGTCGAGCTCAAGACAATAAATTGAGCGCTTCATGGGAGGCAACCCACGGTTTTTGCGTTTTTCGGTTTTTTGTTTTTGTTTGAGAATAAATAGCTCCACGAGCCACACGACACGCATGATTTTCGAGGGTGAAAACGGGTTTCTAGGTCGAGATTTGATTGAAAGTTTGATGAGGAGTTGAAAATTTGAGGCTAAGTATGGAAATTATTGAGAAGTGCCCGTGCCGACCCGCTCGGCAGTACCGACCTGTTAGTGCCGGGCTAAAATTTTTATCGAGAAAGTTCCGGGAGGTGTAGATGAGATTTGAGTAAAATCGGGTCAAAAATCGTTAAAAAATACTCAAAATATGGCTAAGTGTTCAAAAAATGGCCCCAGGCCCGCTTAGGCCCGCACTGGCCCGAGGCAGC